GAGAGAGGGAGAGGGAGAGGGAGAGGGAGAAATGAGATGCCAGGCCCAGGACTTGAATCACGGCCAGTCATACGGGAGTCCAGCCTTCACCACCACTTTACCTACTGGCCCCAACACAAGATTTTTAAAAAGAGATATATTAAAATGAAAATCTCTAAGAGAAAATGTCCTCTTTGGGACACGAAGGGGTAGTATGTGGGATAACAGAACCGTGTGTAGCTGTCTGCGACCTCTGGGGATGTCTGCCTGCATTCTCACCTGGGAGTGAATGGAGCCGGGGGCTAAGGTCACCAGGGGATGTGTGGATGTTATGGTGTATGTGGCAGTGTAGCTGGGGTTAGGGAGTGTGGATAGGAAAGCAAATATAACATGAAGGGCGAAAGAACAGAATGAGCAAGATTAATGAGGTTTTAACTGGACCCATTTTGCCATGGTTCCCCTAGGCCCTCAACCATCACATCTGACCCTTAGGAATGCACCACACAGAGACTGATTAAACAATATACCACACAGGACTGACCTGTTAAAGACCACTCCTCTCTTGCCCTCTGCCTCCAGTTTTACTCCCTAGCATAGTACACACAGGGAAGACCTAACTACTGGGAAGAATCCCTAACATTTTTCCAGGATAGAATTCTGGCTAGTCCAAAAGGGTCCTTCTTTTAAGGGTTTTAGGAAGCTAGACACTGCACTTTGTTAGTATCAGAGATGTTTATTTGGAGCAAAGTCAGCTCCAGGAGCTGCATGGTTGAATGCAGGAGGAGTTCCACCAATTGCCCCGATTCCTTCCACTGTAGCAGCTTGACCAAAGCGTTCATTTGTTGGTAGGGTTAATCTTAAGGTTCCATTTGGCATCATAGTGGCAGGTCCTGGAGGAGCTGGGGTACCAGCTGGCACAGGAGCAGGGCGTGGCGCCTCTGTTGTTTATGCCCATGGCACCGCCCACAGCCATCTGACCCATCCGTATCTCCTGCTTTCTCGCATCAGGGAACAGTCTTTTGAATTCTTCCTGCTGTCACCACATCATTTCTTCCTCCTGCCACGGCATCTCTTCCTCACGGCGCCTGTACTCCTTCTCCTGTCAGCTCCAGTTGCTTTTGTTTTCGCACCTCTTGGTTGTGTAGCTCTTCCATCCTCTGAAGTCCTTGGCGCCTCATCAAATCCCGCTCATGGCGGGCAGCCTGCATCTCCACCTCCAGCATCTCACGAGCCTCCTTGATGTTGCGGTCCACTTGTTCCTGCTGCAGCTTCTCCATCTCAGTGAGTGCCTTCCAGCAGGGCATACCCATACTCAGAGCACCCGGGCTGTGCGAAGCTGGGTGGCTGCTCTCGCTCCTTGTGAAATTGCTGGTTCCTTATAACCGGCTTCTCTGGAAGTCCTTCTTCATCTAACTGGCCCATGGGTGTGGAGAGCTGAACACATGTGATGAAAACATGTGGCCTGTAGACATGCAGAAATGTCTTCCGTAAGCTACTCTAGCAGGGCTATTGAGAAGCATCTTCATACGAAAGCGGTAGCTGCCTGTTGTCAATGGTTGTCTTCCTGTTGTTATTGATACCCAATATCCCATGCTGCCCAGTACTGGGCTAAAGAAAGTCACATGCATTTATCAGATTGTCCCCCCAAAAAGATCAGAGAAATTATATGGCGCCAGTCATTTTCACATCCTCTGACGATTTACATCCAAAACCAACTGGCTTTGCATTCTGATTTCTCCTCCCTTATTCTCTTTGCATTCTACTTCCTTCTTCCCCATTCCTTTTGCATTCCGTTTTTCCCTTCCCCCATTTTCTGCCCTATAAAACAATAAACCTGAGGCTGGTTCAGGTCACAACTTCTCCATCAGAGAAGCTGTGCCCACCCGACCCTCGCTTTTCTATGCCTGTGTGTCTTTGTGTGTTTTGTTATTGCGTCTATTTCTAATCCACAGCCTGCCCCACTCAGAAAAACGTGTTCATGCTGAGCTGGTCCTGGCACATGAGCTCCATGGTCCCAGGCCCAGGAAATGTGGTTAGCAGAGAGGAGCCTGCACTGCATCTGTCCAGAGCTTTTCAAGCAGCTGGCTTCCCTGAGAATGCAGCGGTGCCTTTTCCTGAGGGCCTTCCGCCATCATCCACAAGGACTACAGCCCTTTCCGCCTGGCTGGAAAGTCTTCCTCCAACAGTTCATTGGACGAGTTCTGAGGAAGGTTTCGAACCATAAGGGATGCACTATGGCAGGCAAAGCGCACACATGGCTGCTTCCCACGGAGTGGCATGCTGTCTAGTTCTACTTTGGCAATCTCCACTAGGGTTCGCGTTCCCAAGCGGATAAAGCCAGAGCTTTTGTTCTTATGAATGAAGACTTCACCTGCCTTCCCATATTTCTCAAATAGTTTCCTCATTTCCTCTTCAGTGATATCGGGGGAAGATGGTTCACAAAGAGGTGGCCGTGTTGGGTGAAGGTTTCTCTCCTGGCTTCCTAAAATCCTTCAGGTCCATAGTCAAGCCCCGTTTTGGCTGGGGCCTGTCGCCCCTTTGCAGGTTCTGGTGGCGGCCGTGGCTGTAGCTGCTGGTGCCCCTGGTGGTGATGTTGCCGATGCTTGCTTAGAGTATGGTTTTGTTTCTCCAAATTAAAAATTTTATTACTCTGCATTTTTGTTCCCTCAGCCTCGATTGAAGACAGCATGGTGCCTCCTGGTCCTCTCTAACCTCAACTTTCTCTACCAACTGTTCTCTCCCCCGAGTAATGGCCATGCTGCACGGCCTCCACCACCCTGGGGAAAGAGCCTGCAACTGCTGGGAAACAGATGAAGGGAATCTTAACAAGAGACATGAGAGAGCTTTGGGACAAGTAAGTTAAAGTGTCCATGCAACAGACCCCCAGAAAAGATGACAAATGACCTTTTCCTGAAAGCTCAGACCTTTGAGAAGGGAACTGAGCTGTGGTCTAGGCCGAGCAAGATGTCAAAGCCAGGAATGCGGAACTTTGGGATGACATGGTGACCTGTTGTGGGACTCACTTCCCATTTGTTCTAGATAAATGGTCCTTGGGGAGACAGGGAGCCACCTGGCTGGAGGGACCAGGGTGAGCTCCCGGCATGAAGGCTGCAGAGAGGGAGGTCCCCGACGCGCACTTCACGGTGGACAAGCAGAACATCGCCCTCTGGCCCCGAGGCAAGCACCAGCCGCTGCTCAGAACCTGCTCGGGGCCCTGCGCCTCACCTGCTGTGTGTCGGTCCTTCCATAAACGTTTGCTTTTTCTTCCACAGAGCCTCCTTCCAAGCCGGCTCCGGCTCTGGTCCCGAGGAGGTGCCTCACGGTCCGCACGGCGATAATCTGCCTGGTGCTGGCGCTGGCCGCCTCCATCTTGCTGCAGGCCACTCTCTGTAAGTCCTCAGGCTCCTCGCCAGGCCTGGTCCTTCTGCATGGTGTCTTCTCCTTCGAGATCCAGGTCGCTTTCTTGCTCTGTGGGGTGTCTCCCGCCCATGGCCTTTCCCTGTCCTCGAGCGGGAAGAGTGCCCCGTGCCAGTAAGATGAGCTGCTGTTCTCCTTCGCAGACTCCGGGAGATTTTCCAGTTTAGGATTGGTGCGTCACGCTCACGCCCAAGGATATTCTTTTTTTGTCCTCAGGAAACAGTCACCTAGTTCTTTATCGGGTGTCATTTCATCCCCTCCCCCCAGCTCTGTGGCCCTCAGATTCGGAGTCCTGTGGAGAGCCCTTGAGAGGGAGTGCGATGTTTCTGATCCCCGAGAGACTGCATCCCAAGGGTGCCCTCAGCCCTGATGCCAGATGGAGAAACTGGCCAAGGAGCCACCACCTCCATGATCCAGTCCCCTTACCAGGACCCCTCACGCTCTCTCTGTTCTGTCCCCGTGAAGAGCACGTCCAGGGCAGCCTCCCTCCCTGAGTCTGTGTGCGTGGCTAACCTTCCTTCCTCTCCGGGTCTGCCAAGTTCCACGACTCAGCTGCTGGCAGCGCCTTCTCCCTCCTGCTAGGTTTCCAGAAAGCAGAGTGAGGAAATGTCTGTCTTCTCCCTTCCTGACCTCGGCGTAGCTGGTCTCAGACTCGTAGCCCTGAGCATGGCCCGCTCCTGCCCCCACCAGGCCCCTGGTCTTCAACACTGCCTTCCCCTGGGATTTTCCTTTGAGCCTTCTTGGTCTATTTTTGGTCCCTTATAAGGTGGCCAAGTCTGTGACATGGACAAGTGTGAGACGGGTAGGACAGGGAAGGGGAGACGTGATCTCACCAGCTCCCTTTCTGTGTTCTCTGGAGAAGCCCATTCAGGGTAGAAGTCTGCATGGCTGGCCCATCCCATGGCCATGGAGGTGCCTGTGGACAGACAGGGGAGGGGTGGTGCTGCTCAAGCAGAGAGCCACGCAGAGATCTCTGAAAGGAGAGGGCTTGCAGTCAAGTAACCCTAGGGAGAGAGACAAAGGGTGACTGAGGATTTCCTTCTACCAAATGTGCACTGAATACACAAAGGAAATTCCGGACTGGGTTCTAATTCCTGCTTCTGCTTGCTTGTGAGGTCTTGTGATCTTTTAAAATTATTATTTAAATTATTTATTTACATAATCTTATTATTGCTTATTATTATTATTATTGCCATTATCTTTAAGTTTTTGCTCTAAGTTTGCTGGCACATGTGCTCACCAGAGAGAGAGAGAGAGGGAAAGTGAGAAAGCAGGCCACCAGGAATGGGACTTGAACTGTAGTCAGCCATTTGAGAGTCCAGCGCCTTAACTACCATGCAGCCTGCTGGCCCACGGTCTCTCTGTGTTAGTGTTATCTGTATCCACCAGAGTCCTGGCGCACGTCGTGCCCATTGTACCCTTGTTGTTCATTAATGGCTGTGTGGAAAGTGGGTGGCAGTCTGAGGACTGTTTCGGTTCTTTGGGAGCGTGGTCCTGTCTCTTCCCCTCCCTTTCTTCTATCACCTTGACTACACCCCCCAGTCCTGCTCCTGGGGAGCCCCACAGCTGACCTCTTCACTTTCTCAAATCCAGACCCCTGGTTTATGGGCACGATATCAGACATAAAGTCCAGCGCTCAGTTGCTGAAGGAGCGTGTGGACAATGTCAGTGCCCTAGGACCTGAAGTTAAGAAGAACAGCGGCGGCGTGGAGGCAGCTGGCGTGCAGGTCCAGAGGGTGAATGCCAGCCTGGATCTGGTGCACACTCAGATCCTGATGCTGAAAACCAGTGTGGAGAATGCCAACGCACATATTCAGATCTTGACAGAAAATTGGGAGGATGTTAATCATTTAAATGCCCAAATCCCAGGGCTAAAAAAAGATTTGGATAAAGCCAGTGTGTTAAACACAAAGGTCCGGGGGCTCCAGAGCAGTTTGGAGAATATCAACAAGTTGCTCAGACAGCAAGGTAAGTGACTCAGAAAATGGCATTGCAAGTTGACCAGTGGCCACACGACCTTGCCTGTCTCAGACAGGAGGACTTTGGGCTGGTGAGAGAGGAGAGAAAGGGAGGGGAGAGGGCAGGGATCTAGGCTACAAAGTTAAGGAGAGGGCTTAGCCCTGGGGTTGGGGAGGACTTGGGGCTGCTAGGAGAGAGGAGACCAGTGTCTGCCTTGAGACCCTGCCCCGGGGGTGCAGAATGCGAAAGCATGAGGGAGTGGCCCAAACTCACCCATTTCCCATTAAGTTCCTTGTCTAGAGCCCTGGGCTCAGCCAATGGCCACGGCCAATGGAGAATTGCATTTCCTGTGTGGGAAAGATTTGTGGCCCATCTCTCATTCTCTCTTCTCTAACTCTCCTCTCTAATCCCAGAGGCCATGTCTGTCTCAGTCAGACTTTGAGGATCTGAGAAAGTGTCCCCAGAGATCCCAGAGTGGCCCAGTCCTGTCCCTTGCTATCCCTGGATTCCACGTAGCCAGTACCCCGAAGACACAGGAACACCAGCGTGCAGTTCATTTTACCCTGTTCCTTCATTCCTTTCACCCTCTTCCTCCAGATGACATTCTGCAGATGGTTTCCCAAGGATGGAGGTACTTCCAGGGAAACTTCTATTACTTTTCTCGCATAGTAAAGACGTGGTACAGTGCTCAGCAGTTCTGTCTGTCCAGGGGTGCACACCTGACCTCAGTGACCTCAGAGGGTGAGCAGGTGCGTGCCGTTCCTAGGGGCGCTGTGAAGGGGGTGAGAGAGCTGTCTGGGAGGGTGTGCGAGGTCATTCTGTGGTCACAAAACCCCCCAAATGCCTGTAACCTAACAATAAAGGGCTATTGCTTGCTCATACGACATGTCCAGCCAGGGCCAGCAGGTGAGTTCCATTCATTGTGGTTGCTTAGGGACTGTAACCAGAGAAGACGTCGTCCTAACGTTTCCACCATTGCTGAGGCAGGGAACGAGAACAAGGCAGCTCGTGGGATGGCTCTTAAAGTTCCTGCCTGGAAATAACACACACCCCTTCTGCTCATTTTGTTGTGGGGAAAAAAAAAAAAAAAAAAACCCT